TCTTTATCGCTCTGAGTTTTCATAATTCCACTCCTAGTCGATTTTCACACCATGGAAAGATCTTAAAATGTAACCCACACTGTTTTAGCCATTGTTTAAGATTTTCCAAAAGTTTCTTCTCGTCTTAAGAAAAAGCTTAGATATCTCTGCATGACAGAGACCTCCTCATAATCTGGCAACCGTGTATCTATGTTTTCTGTAAAATTCACTTTTATTACTCTTATTTTTTTCTTTATACGAATAATAATAATAACTACCCTATGCTACCATGTGGCAGACATTATGCTAAGGAATTTTACAGTTTTCTGGCTTCCTTATGTGTATTGATGCCTCCCCACCCCGCCAAAGGATATTGAGTTGATTTCTAGTATCCTTTTCCTTAGCAATGTGTCTTCTCTTTCTCTCGCAAGCACCAGGAAGAAAGCATCCAACAAAACAAAAACAAAAACTCCCTACAGTGATAGAGCTTGCATTTTACTGTTGTTCCCACACTGAACTGGTAGTTACTGGTCTGCGTGGGTTCTTTCTGTGGAAGAATACATAAGAAGAAAAAAAAACAAGAAAAAACAAAACAAAATGAAAACTGAAAGTGCCCTCGTGATTCAGCGATTCTATAGAGGGGCTGTAGAGACATGGAGGAAAGGATCTGCAGAGGTCATTTTTTTCTTTTATTTATTTATTAAAAATTTCCACCACCTCCCATTTCCCTCCCCCTCCCCCTCCCGCCCCAAGCGCAGTCGGGGTTCCCTGCCCCGGGGGCGGTGGAAGGGTAGCCCTCTCCCGCCCCCCCCCGCATCCGGGTCTATAAAGGTGAGCATCCAAACAAACGAGGCTCCCACAAAGCCAGTCCATGCAGTAGAATCAAAACCCAGTGCCACTGTCCTTGACTTCTCAGTCAGCCCACAGTTTGAGAACTTCTGGCCCACTTTTCGGCCTTAGGGTTTCCTGTTTGGGTACATCCAGAGAAGAATACACACTGCATCCATGCATGGTTGGCAATGGGGCCCTAAATGAATGCCGGAAAAGTGTGTAAGTAATGGCCCTTGGCGTCGGGTGGGAGGTCACTGAACATAAGAAACCTAACAGACTTAGACAGAGAATCCTCACAATAGTTTGTGTATGATTTAATAAGGATTTAGGGTTGGCTTCATATGCTGAGGAAGCCAGAGGCTGTGTACTCTGCAGCGCCTGTTTCAGTGAACAGAAGCACAGTGTGGAGCAAAGGCAGAGTCAGTGCTGAGGGAGAACCCTGGCATTTGGGCAACTCCATGCTATCTTATGCAGCTTGCACATGGAATGCGTGCAGAGGTGGCATTCAAATGGATTAGAAAGATGGGCAGAGGAAGAGTCTGAGGTATGCATTGGGTTCTCCAACGGAGGAGGGAAACAACAAAATCTGTGTGTGTGTCTCTGTGTCTCTGGGTGTCCTTGTGTCTCTGTGTGTTTGTGAGTGTCTGTGTGTCTGTGTGTGTATCTGTGTGTCTGCATGTGTTTGTGTGTGTGTTTACAGGTATGTCTGTGGGTGTCTGTGTGTCTGCATGTGTTTCTGTGTGTGTCTACAGGTATGTCTGTGTGTCTGCATTTGTTTGTATGTCTCTGTGTGTGTCTGTGTATCTGCACGTGTTTGTCTGTATATGTGTGTCTGTGTGTGTATATCTATGTGTGTGTTTGTGTGTCTGCGTGTGTGTATTTATATGTGTGTCTGTGGGCATCTGTGTGCGTGTGTCTGTGGGTGTCTCTGTGTGTGCTTGTGTGTGTGAGTGTCTCTGTGTATGTCTAGTCTATGTATGAGTATCTCTGTGTGTGTGTGTGTGAGTGTCTGTGTGTGTCTGTGTGTGTGTGTCTGGGTGTGTGCCTGTGTGTGTGCCTGTATATCTGTATGAATTTGTGTGTCTATATGAGTGTGTGTGTGTGTGTGTGTGTGTGCGCGCTTTTGTTCAGAGAAATTTAGTTTAAATAGCTGACTCCCCAATTATGGGGACTAACAGCTCTGAACCCTGCAATGAAGACCTTCAGGGTATAAACCCAGGAAAGAGTAGTTTGGGGAGCAGAGGTCTCTCATGCTCAGGGAGGCAATGTGTTTTACTTAAGGCTTACAACTGATTAAACAAGGCCAACCTCATGATGTTGGACAGTCTACATTTAAACCAAAGTCTACTGTTTTAAATGTTCGTCTCATCTAAAATGCTTAGAGCAACTCCTAGACTGGTTTTAACCAAAATTTCCAAATATTAAATTTTACTTTCACAAGGGGATAAATAGATGAGGAATGGACTAAGGAAGACAGATATGGGAGGTGTGGGGTCCAGGAGAGTGAGTGAGCACTCTAGTGGAAAATCCAGACTAAGAGCACAGAATGCAGCCATGCTTTCCTGCAGCAGCCCAGCACAGTGGACTTGAAGCTTGATCAAGTGAGATGGCGGTAGAGAAGCATGACATGGCCAGAGCTGGATATGTGAGCTGCGACCCTGTACTACCAGATGAAGCGCAAGTACTTGATTTTTTTTTAGAGATTTATTTAATTATTATGTATACAACATTCTGCCTCCATGTATGCCCGCACGCCAGGAGGGCACCAGATCTTATTGTAGATGGTTGTGAGCCACCATGTGGTTGCTGGGAATTGAACTCAGGACCTTTGGAAGAGCAGCCAGTGCTCTTAACCACTGAGCCATCTCCTCAGCCCCCAGAACTTGATTTCTTATCTTGTTGTGCTGGCTCAGATAGTAATTCCAGGTTTTCAGGAGTCTGTGGCACAGAGACGGCAAAGTTGAACTGAGTGCATTGGGGAAGAGTGTTTTTAAAAAAAATTTAAAAAAAAAACCCAGTTTTTAAAAGTATCTTCGTAAGGATTCTGTGTCCCTCTGTAGCTTCAGTCACACTCCTGGGTGAGCGGTGATCATAGGATTCAGAGTGAAGACGTCTTTATGATTCAGAACTGTGGTGAGGACTGGGTGGACTTACAGTTTAAAGACCTGGAGAACACTAACTAAAACTTAGTAAGTGCTGAAAGTAAATGTTTGTGACCGACGTAATAATTTTATGGCTCTCATTCTAAGCTATTTATCCATACATAGTTGAAGACCAACCTAGATTTGATGAAAAATACATAGGCACAAGGCAGGAAATAAAAAAAAGAAAGAAAGAAAGAAAGAAAGAAAGAAAGAAAGAGTCTATAATTCAAATCAACAATCTGTAAAAATTTTTTGTGATGGGCTAGAAGTTAATATTTTGACTTTGTAAGCCATTAAGTCTCTGCTGTAATCAAGCCTATGGTAACGTCAGAGCAGCTATATGAATGGATAAGACTGGATCCCCAGAAAAGTGTATGGAAGTTTTTAGTTGACACATAGTACATGTTCCAATTCACGTGGTGCAGTGAGACGTTTGATACATGGGCAAGTTAGAGAATGGTTAAATTAGAATACAAAACATATCCATCATCTTGAGTATTTATTACGTCTTTGTTGTGAGAAGAATAGAAAGTCTCTTTCCCAGTTCTTGTCCATATATACAGCATAATATTATCAGCTACGTTCAGTAGAGCACCTGTGTGTGTTTCTAATTTTGTGTTTGAACCGTCTTTATCCATCCCCACCTACCACTATCCTTCATAGACTCTGGTAACTACTAGTTGATTTCTGACTTTTATGTTACCAGCTCTTTTGGAGCCAACAGATGAATCCAGTCAAGTATCATTTGTCTTTCTGTTTGGGGGCTTCCTTCCCCCTCCCCCCTTACATTATGGGCATCACATAATTTCATCTCTTTTCTTTTTCTCCCATTTTTAGTGCATTTTATGGATGTATGTATATATGCTTTTGCGTGTGTGCGGGTGAAGTGTGTGTGTGTGTGTGTGTGTGTGTGTGTGTGTGTGTGTATGTGTGTGTTGGCTGAGATTAATGTCAGGAATCATCCATTCATTGAGGCAGGTTCTCTCTATCAAACCCAGAGCCAGTGTTTATGACTATACCCTCTAGCCAGTATGTTTTGAAGATCCCCCAATTCTATCTTTTAAAGCTAGAATCATAAGGGAGTCTCCAGGCCCATCCAACATCTATGCGTGTTCTGAGGATCTGAACTCAAGTTCTCAACCTTATAGGGCAAGTACTTTAACCATTGAGCCATCTCCCAGCCAGATTTCAGCCTTTTCATAGCTACTACTACTCACCCATGGGTGCATGCCATATTTCTCTATCGGCTCATCAGTTGGTAGACATTTAAGTCTACCCCATGTCCTGGCTATTGTGAATACTGATGGAGTGACCGGAAAATGCATTTATCTTTTAGACATGCTGATTTCTTTTTTTAAAAAAAAACAGGTTTCTTTTTTATTATTTATTTCTATTCCATGTGTACTTATATTTTTGCCTGCATGCATGACTGTATGAGGGTGTTGGATCCCCTGGAACTGGAGTTACAGGCAGTTGTGCACTGTCTAGTGGATTCTGGGAATCGAACCCGGGTCCTCTGGAAGAGCAGCCAGTGCTCTTAACCACTGACCCATCTCCCCAGCCCCCACCGATTTCATTTCTTTTGGATATAGTTGCAGTATCATATGGTACTTCTACTCCTTTGGGGGAGGGATTCTCAAAACTTGTTCATAATGTCTGTGGCAACTTGCATGTCTATCCACAGTGTGTAAGGTTCTTTATTGTCCAACCCTCAGTGGTGCCTGGTATTATTGTTCTTTTGTCTAATAGGCATTTTACCTGGAGTGAAAAGGTGAATAAAGTGGTTTTAGACTCCATTTCTCTAATTAGTGATGCCCATGTGATGTTGACCATTTTCCCTGTATATACATCAATCTGGGTGATAACTATTAAGAATAAATATTTTACTTTTTTTCTTTGTTTTTCTGTCAAGACAGTGTTTCTTTCTGTAGTCCTGATTACCCTGGAAGGCATTCTGTAGACCAGGCTTGTCTTGAACTCAGAGATCCGCCTGCTTCTGTCTTTCGAGTGCTGCAATTAAAGGTGTGTGCCACCCCTGCCCAGCTTCCAAATATGGACTGCTTTCTGAGTGTGCGTGTCATCCTTGCACAGGCGCCATGCTAATCCTATCTGTGTCATTCTATCTTAGCGTACACACTGCCAAATTGAGCACACTTTTTCTTGATAAATTGTTTTTATTTCTATTAGATCCCATAGTGTATTCGTTTGTTTCCTGTTGCTGCAATAGATACTCACACAAAAGCTGCTTCAGAAATGAAGGCCTTATATAGGTTTATCCCAAAAGGGGATACAGTCCATCATGAAAGGGAGTGGAAGCAGAATCAGGCCACTGGCCCCACAAGCAGGTTGAAAGACAGAGCAGCAAATGGGCCAATCTATAAAACCTCTAAGCCCACCATTAATGATATATCTTCTCCAATAAGCAACCACCTCCTAAAGGGTTCGAGATGTCCCCAAACAGGAACACTACCTTGGGACCAAGTGTTCAAATATATGAGACTACAAGGGACATTTCATATGAAGCCTCGACATCTCGGAAAGAGGAGGAATGCCACTGTGAGTTCTCTCAGAGAATGGTTGGAGCTGGGCCAGGTTGGAGATAGGCAGGCCACACTCATGGGGTGTCACCGTGGGCCAAGAGCCAACTGCCTAGAGGGAGGAGCAAATTCAGCACTAAATAAGTCTTTGTTAAACGAGAGAATGAATGAGTCATACCACCACAGTGATTTTCAAAAAGTCAAGAAATCTACACTGGAGGAGCTAGCTTTGTCCTTATTACATGCTTGGCCAGGTGTGCTATAATTTGAAACGTGTATTTAGGATTATTGACATTTCTTCCTTTGAGTGCTATACATTGTCTTTCTTTGCATTGTTTCTTTGTCCTTTGACCATGATGACTAGGTTAATTAAAACACCAAAATGTTCACTGTCTGACTCTTGACTTCCTTAGGTGTGTCTGAGGAGTTCTGTGTTGGATTTGTTGGGATCAAGAACAGAGGTGTTCAGCTTGCTTGGCGGAGGAGACATTTATGCTAACACATTGCCCCCAGCTTAGGAAGTCTATTTCGGGTCTGGCTATAAAGGTTATGAATATTCTGGGAACATGGGATTTTGGAAAATTTCCAGAGCCATCAAACACTGAAGCTCTGCTGACTTCACTGGTTTTACTCTCAGGGTGCCTCCTAATGACCTGGACAATGTTCCTGCTTCACTTCGTGACTCCTGGCTGATGCCACATGGATGTGCTCATAAAACCATCTTCGACGAGGTTGGAAGAATGAAATTGGTGTTTAAGTGATCACAGCCTTTCCTAAATACACTCAGATTTTAAGCACGAATATTATTTAAATGAATAATTATGAGACCGTTTCCTCAAATACAACTTAAATTGCGTCAGAAAAATGCATTGACGAACAGAAATTACATATATAATATAACTTCCATGTACAATGATATTTTAAAGGCAGATCCCCAGTAACATTAAAGATAGCAACAAAGACCCCCGCCCCCGCCACACTAGAAAGTCTAGAAAGCTTAACACATTCATTTCGCTCGTGTCTGAAGTTAACACGACACACTGTCAGAGAATAGGGATGTGCCGGTAGACAGTAATGAGAGCTAATATTAATGTGAGTTTCCACTTTAAAAAAAAATCCCCATAGTCTGTTTTGTTTGTAGGTAAATCTCTTTCCCTTCTGTTGGTAATAGGCATTTCTGTTAATAGAGATATGTAATTGAAGCTTGCAAATAGCTCTGTAAGAGAAATACATATCTTTTTTTAATAGCAACTATCAAATTTCTGCCACCCAGATAACTATTTTTTTTCCAGTATCCTACTTGCTCCTCCAAGCTGAGATGAATCATTCCTGTTGAAGTTCCCCCTAAAGAGAATCAAAGCTCTTTGCCTTATAAATTCCACAATATCGTTTGACTAAAGTCTTTTTTATCACATGTCCTAGAATACTAATTATTTTTATCTTGTTGACAAGAACAAGAGGAGTCTAGTAAGCACCTGCCGGCCTTTCTTTGTTTAAACACAGGAACAGCACACAGGAAGCTATTTCTAACCCAACTTACTTTTAAAGTGCCCCGTGCAGATGCCACGTTTCCTGCATGTTTTGACAAATGACACATTTCCTTTGGTGCTTCCTTGTGGGTAACAGCGTGTGAGGATGTGGTGTTGGAAAAATTTATTACAGTTATTTTGTAGTTGATATTAAAAAATGTGATGTATTATACCAGGTGTCTGACCTTTAAAGATCTTAGGACCTAATTCATTACAACATAAAATTTACATATTATTCAACTTTGCTGCAGAGCTCCTATGAACAAGTCATGGTGTGTGTGTGTCAGGGCTGAGAAGTAAAAAGCTAGGCTCAAGCAAGAGCTGAGGACCCCGAGTTTGCACGTGTGGGGGATTCTGTAACTCAGGGCAGAGGGACCGTGTGGCTGTTTAAGTAAAGAAAGGTGTACGGGGAACTTGGTACAGTGGAAATGTCGGGGACTCATGAGGCACAGCTTTTCAGAGATTCCCATCCAGTCTTCCTTCATTACAGGTCAATGAAAAGCACACGAAGAGAGAATGAGTAACTGTGTATTTCCACAGAACAGCTTTAAAGGAATTGAAGCTGCTACAGTCAACAAAACAATAGATAATGATTTTCTATACCTGATTCAAGCATTTGAGATAGGAAGTCAAAAATGAAAGTGTGTTATGAAACAAAAACCTCAGGTTAAAAAAATATATCTCTATCTAGATATATTTGAAATCATGCCCAGGTAACAGTTTTTCAAAAGAATGAGAATTTAAATCAGGTTACAGCAAATTTGATCTGAGCACTAACATTAGGAGCTTCTGGAAATCACATTATGACACCTGAGTTCTCTTAATTAATTTTAATGTTTCTTTTTCAGTGAAAACTGGAATATTGTTTTCTCATAATACATACTTACATCATTTGTGTTTCCAATCGAACAAATACCTGTTAAATTGAAAGCCCAACTTTTAATAAGTGCATGTACGACATCCTATAGGATAACAATTCATTTGCAAAATCGTGGTCCCTACAGCTTCCTATCTCTCAAGACTCCCCAACCTTGATTGATAATACTATCTTTCCCTGCGGTGGTTCCAGTATTATGACAGAAGTAACTTCAAATCTTTCTATAGTGATTATAAAATAATTTGAGTTAATGCAGATGGGCTATTCATGTCAATACAAGTCAAACACAGTTTAAAGATTCAGTTTGCTATCACAGATAATGTTTCTGTATTCTGCAGTTTAATTAGCAAGGAGGAAGCATTTCATCTCAAATGCTGATTTTCTAAATTATTTTTGCTGGAAGGTATAGAAATATGCTTAAAATGTCCTTTTTGGATATGTGCTAATTTTTAGGAAGTGGGTGGAGGCTGTCGACACAAGACAAAATGGGAAAAGCCGTAATTATCCTCCGAGTGAGTTGCTTTTGGCAAACCCAAGCCAATCACATGCCGTAAATGGCAAGGTGAGAAGTGTTGTGTTTTCGCAGTAGAGGGAGCTGTCTTCTAGCGCTAGCGAAAATAGAAGGTCACTCCGTCTATTGATAAATCACACTGCCGTGATTCCTAACTGACAGCTCAAACTAACATCAAGCTGGATGAGGGAGAACAAAAGGCCATCAAGCAGCCATTTTCTTGACACTTTTATTCAATCACCAGCAGATTGCTTACGACAGCAATAGCAGCTGTTTTGTCTTCATCTTTCCACATTTGATAAAAGGTGTCAACTCAAATTTTTGTAAATAATTCACTTACCCCTACTGCACACACCGGCACTGTTCCGCATATGTATTTTGTGGGAGCAAATCACCGAGGCAGGTCAGCGGAGCTCGGTGATAGCAGCTGAAGGTCATCTGCGATCTTAAAAGACGACTCGAGACGGCTGTACCGTCCTTCAAGGTCAGAGATAAGACTATGCGTGGATATTTGTGATGGGAACAAAAGGTTACACAGTGAGGAGAAGAATATATGAAAATGCTTCCGTCAGTATCAGACTCATTTTCTTTGTTTAAGGAATCTCTCACTTCCAGCTCCTTGGTCAGCTATCAGCGTAGGGTATTTGTAAACCCACTGAAGAGATTAAAAATCTAAATTGCTCTTTCAAAAGTTTGAAGAAAGCATTATTTGTAGCCTGCTATTCATCATGACTGTACAGAGGCCAGAGTTACAATCCATTTCTATGTCCTTTTTAAAAAGAATCATAAAAAGAGTGTCAAAAATTAATACAGTTAGAGAGAATTTCATTTATCTAGTTCATTTAAAATTCTACCCTGAAATGCATTTAGGCTTGAGAGCAGAGGTAAAAAAAATAGAGAAAGAAGGTGTTTTATATCATAAGAGCTTCGTTTGCTTTAAGGGCTTAGAGAAACTAATAGAGAAATCCTTGAATTATTGCAATAAGATACTCTATCTGGTGTTGGCAAGCAGCTAAAAGCGCTGAGATTAAAAATGATACATCCTTCAATGCTAGCTTGTTTTTTAGGTTGCATTACTCACAGAATAATCTAAACAACAAATAGTCACTACTTGGTTTATATTTTCTAATAGGAAAAGTCCATGTGTTTTTGAGATTCTGTCTGAGTGCCACCCCAGGGGGATTTATTACCTGTAATTGATGTGCACGGGGATCAAAGAGCACCTTTCTTGCATTTTCTCCTATTCTTTCTACGTCAGAACTGGGGGGAAATAACTCTTGCTATGCCGCCGCTGGAAGAGGTGTGGAAGGATAAAATGAACCAGGATAGAGTACCTGATCCTAAATTAGTTGCTCCAACTCCTGGTTGAAAATTCATTCCCAGAAGAAAAACTAGTATCTTCACAACTTAAATCTTTATAAGTAGACAGCAAACAGGGATTTAGAATAAAGTCTTAATCTTTTGTATTTCAAAGCACAGGGTTTTCTCCTTGCAATCTCTCTAGGTTGGTACCTATTTGCCCCTTCTGGCTTAGCCCATGCCATCTTGTACTGTGGTTTGTCTTCTTACTGTATTTCCTTCTCAGTGAGATTGTAGGATCACGGGAGTAGGATGCATGTCTTATCAATTTCATAACTGTAATGTTCTCATAAAGCATGTGAAACACTTGCATCCATTATCTGGCTTTTATATTA